AGCAGCGATATTCTTGTTAGCAGCGATAGCAGCGATATTCTTGTTAGATGTGGTAAAAACTGTTGGGGAAAACATGGGAAAACAACTGAGGGGGCTGGGGCTCCGGTGCATTGCAGGACGTGAGGGTCCGGTGCTCGTCTTCCACCCCATCGGTGCGAAGTCGGCCGCCGCCACGTTCTGTCCACTGCACCCGCCCAGGCCACGCCCAAACCACGCCGTCCCACCTCATCCCACGCCATCGCGGGCGTCGAGAAACCGCCAGCCTTGCTGGATCAGAAGGCTAAAGCCCGCATCTGCACCTGGCGCCGGTCCCCGCGTCGGTACACACGCGGCCCACGCGTGGATGGACTTGGAACGAAGCCGGACTTGGAACCCTGGTGTTTTCGAGGGGCAGCAAGACTTAGCACACTCCTGCCAACGCCTCAAAATAATGCATTTGGCATGATCAAACAGCGGTGCCGGCCCGACACCATTCTGGCCCATTTCGTAAGTCTGGCCTGGAAAAACAAAGCGCGAGGTTGGCTTCGCGCTTGAAATGATTGGACGAACGCCAAAGTTGGTCCTGATTCATGATTGCCTTTTTCGACCTGAGCACGGCTCTATTGTCACATGCCAAGAAACACCGTGTTAAACCATGTTACGCCATCCATTCTCCCCATTGCTTGCACTGGCCGGCAAAACCGCACCGAGCATCGAAACTGCATCCCCAAAGCAACATGGGCCTTCTTCCAAGAGAGTCTGCCCGGGAAGAAAGACCTCGACATCGCCGCTTTGTGCACGCGACCAATCAGAGGCCCAGACCCCAGCACTTCCGCACGGGAAGAAAAAACCCGGAAGTGACACAGAAGACGACCCTTTGGTGGCTGTCATCCAAAGAATCTGAAGGTAATATATAGTATTGTGATCTGACATGTTTTCTCCCCCGTGGGAAGTCAAATGAAGTCAATATTCATGGATTGTAGATAAGCTGATAAGCCTATAAGCTCGCAACTGGAATGGGCCTCCAAACGTCTACAAACCTTTCCCACATCGACATCAGAAGTCCCACTCACTTCCTAACTATTTGAACCAAAATGAGGTGAGCCATCCGAACCAGTTGAATGAAGTCTCTCGACCGGTCAAGATGCTCCCCATCTTCGCGCAAACACGTGCCTGCTTCTCCAAGTGTTGGGCCATGCGTGTGAGAAACCTCCAGGCAACGGCAAGGTCTTTGGGGGGGACAGGAATAAGAAACCCAAATCGCTAGGTGTTCCTCTCTCAAATCCCTAACCCTTTTGTAGATGTTCTGTCCCCTAACCCCTTGTGTGGAGAACACCATACACCCTCGCCGAGAAAACCCGTGGAAGAACTGCTTCTCAAAGGTTCCAGGAGTTCTGAAGAGCCACAGCATGCTTTTGCTAGGCCGCGATAGCTTCCATCAACTCACAGTCACATGATGTCACGCGTACGGTACGCGTGCCACATGAAAAGCGTGCATTCGCATCAGGAGACTTCCGGTTGGTTGGGTGATCTGCAACTTCCACAGTAATTACAGTAAGACAAAATGCCGACAAAGGCCCAACATCCTCCTTAAAATCGAAGTGTCTGTCTCTTTCGACTCCTTCGTCCTTCTATTTCCTCTCCAATCCCGAGGGGCGAAGGATCGCAATTCTTGAGGAAGCTGGTGGGCTGCCTGGGCCGAGACGTTTGGTCCCAAACGGTGACGCGGACGGCGTGCGCGTCCAATCGCAGATGAACCTGAAGGGACTGCGTTAAAACAAGGTCAATTGATGAGGAGGAATGTCTGTACAGTATATACCGTATGCATTATCATTTACTCTATATAGAAAATGTATGATCAATATGATATAAACTACTGGTCAGTTGGTTGGCGGCGTTCCTTCCACCCTCAAACAAACCGACTTGGTGGCGGCACATCCGCTTTCAGGGACAAAGGATGACCGCCGCTGGCGTTTCAGCCCCAAACACCCCACCCAAGGGGGAAGGAGCATCGAACGCCTGTCTCTTTGCAACCTGGTTGCTGCGAAGGTAGCTCTTGCCCCTGCGAAAGAAGCAGAACACACCGGAGGCCCGGAGAAAGCCTGTTCCAAACTTCTGCCGTAGTCAATCATGGCAATCCAGATTGAGGATGCACCGTATTCAAATTACCCATCTTCGACCAAATCACCCCAGTCTACAACTTTGGAGATGCTATCTTTAGACCACCTAGGCTCAAAACACTAGCTGTTGATGAGACGGTGCTTCATTGGCAAGGCGGGCTTTTTCGAAACACTGACGTGGGCAGCAAGTCTCCTCAGAGGAAAGGGTCTGCACAGTGGACCGCATCTTCTTCTGCAGCATCAACTCCATCTTCCTCAAGCGGCCGATCACAAGGAAAGGAAAAGGATAAAAAGAGGTGAGGGAATGACAAGGAGAAGTGACACCATAGGTGCTCACTCTTCAGGGGGACGTCCAAAACCTTGAAGTTTGGGAACTACCATGAACTACCCCAAGGCGTGCTTAGTGCTTGCACCCAGAGGCTCCAAACAGCCCTTGATCCCTCAAAGCCTAGGGATTTGAGACCCCAGCACCCCCTCCAGAGGATTCGACCCCAGACCCCTCCATATATGAGGGTCGCGTTTGGGCGGTCAATGATGTATACCTAGCTCTCCACCTCAGAAGTCAAACCCCACAGCTCGCCATGAAATGATACACCATAACGAGCGCCCACCTTTTTCCGACCTGCAGAAAAAGCGCTGTACTCGACGTGTTCTTTGTCATTCATTGTCCTCAAGCAAGGCAACAAGCAAGCACAGATTTTTTGTGGCCACTGCGATTTGAGCAGCGAAACCATCCTGCCAATGCAGATCCACATTGCAGGCGTTTGACGTTGAAACACCTCCGGAGAGATGCTACGATACCGCCAGCCGCGGCAGAAGGGGATCGGCTCCATGGTGGAGATGCACCAAAACCATGACGGAGGCCGGTCAGCTGCGCCAGTTGGAAGGTCCACGCTGCGTTGCCGTCGGCGGCATTGCCGTCCACCATTCCGACAGCACCAGGGGGGCGATGGCAGGCGGGCTATGGAGCTGAAGACTTCAAACGCATCTCGCGGTGGTGCTTCAGGAGATCCTGGCTGGCAGAACAAGACCATCAAAAGCTAAGAACAGGTTGCCGAGCCCTAGGTCACCTAGCACTAGGAAAAGAGTTACCCAGCGCAACAGGTTAGCGTCCTCGGCCTCTTTCTGCAAGGCTTCACGTTCAGCCCGCTCGGCTTCGCTGAGTTGCTCCCCTGCGAAAAATTGGGAAATTGAAAAAACTATCCTGGTAAATATGAAAGCTCAAGTGTTTGGACAAAAAAAACTCGTACAAAGACTGTGATTCGTCGAAATGAAGCCACCACGCCAATTATATAATTGTCCAAGCAGGAAAGCGCAAAGTGGCAGGAATAGTAATGAAATGAGCAACTTCCTACAGGAGTCATACGAAATAGCTACACAATCCCAACCAAAGTTCCCAAATGATTTGTTGCAGTTGGACACTTGATACAAATAGGGGCTGTCAGTGTTTCAGAAGAGCCTTATAACTGATGGAGCAATGGCAGCCATCCTCCAATAAATACAATAAATACAAGAATATGAAACAGTTGAAAGCAAAGACAAAATTGCTACAATATATGTCCTCCATTCTATCCACTTGTCATGAAAAGGCCCCAACCTAGCTGGCACTTTTCTGGGCTCCCAATCATGTCCATCAAACTATTATAGTTTTCTGGCGGCCCAACTTTTCAGCACAAATATCGGCATCACGTCATGAGTAGAGATGGACCAAAATCCTCCCCCAAAGGCCATGCGCCATCTACCCTGAACTCCACACCTGCAAGCGCCACTGGACGCGCCACGGCCAGCGCCCGTGCATCGCGGCGCCCCAGCGCATCGTCGCGCTGGGCGGACAGCTCCGCAGCTTCGCCCTGGTTGGTCACGGGAAAAGGTGGGTTGGTCACGGGGTTGGTTCGCATCCACTATCATCCACCCAAGCAGCTGGAAAAAGATTTTGCGGGGAGATTGAGAGATCTATATACTATTGAAAGGACTTGCTTAATTGCTCAAGGTTGATCTACTATGGAACTACTATTGAAAGGACTTGCTTGCAACTATCGTCCCCGAGCCATATAGGGCAGGCAGGGTTCAAAAACTGCACCTTGGACCGTAGGGGTGTCCAGTCCAAAAAGAACTTGGCAGTTCTCTGCAATCCAGGCGAGGGCAAACCAAAAACCAAAAGCCTTGGATACGTTGATGTCCTTATGGCCTGTTGCTGGGTGGTGTACAGGAACTGAGTACCATACTTGCACCCTCCACCCTTGGGCCCCCGATTTGGACGCCTCAAGCGCTGAATGATGTTTGACTGATGTTCAAAAAACACCAAGAAAACAAACACTGGTTTCAGAGTGGATGGCAGAAGCTCAAAGATGTCCTTTATATCGGGGTCAATTAGGGTCCATTATAAACCACCGAACTTGGGAGCCCAACCTCTGAAACCACTGTAATCCATCATAAATCTCCCTAGTCGCCGCTTGTTTCCTCAGCAGCGCAGCTCGCAGCTCTTGGGCAATGCCAGAGGCCAGCATCGGTCTTCCGTCAGGCGGCTGGGGCGAACTGGAGGCCTCATCGGTGGCATCATTGGCATGCAAACTGGCCAAAGGGCCTCTCAAATGATAAATAGATTGTAAACAACGTGTTTTAGATTCCCAGTCCCTGGCTTGGCAAGAGTACCTCCATCTTAAGGTGGGTGCGGATGGTTGAATCACGAAGCATCCCAAGAATATTGTGTCGCTCCCAAACCCGTCCGTTCAAGCGCGGTAGGAACGCCAACCGAACTCGCCGACGTCGTTCTCCGCCTGGCCTGAACCTTCCAAAACTACAAAACCCCTTGCATTATCTTGCATTAGGGCACCAAGACTGGGACCAAAATGGACAAAGGACCAGGTACCATCACAGGCGAAAAATCAGCGAGTTTGAAGATTTTGAAGGATCCTGTGGGCCCCTGGTCACCCCCAAACCAACCTCTACAAGAACTGATGCACCGGTGTGGGACTCTCTTGGAATTCGGACCAACAAGAATTCCCAAATTGATGTTGTGGGAGTTGGTTGAATCATAAAATTTCCCCCGGCCCCACACCCCGCCCAGGCCCCGTACCTCCTCACTTGAGGATGAGCTCTTCTTATTCGCCTCTGTGCCCGAAGGATGTGCGAGAAGAGGCAGTTTTTGTGTGACTTGTAGAGGCAGAAAAGTAGACCTCTTAATGTTATATGTTCCTATCCTGTTGAGCAGCAATATCAGCTGAATCAAGATTTGTGGGATCTTCGTCTTCGTCCATCAATCGGTTTCCTCCAGCGCGCGCACACAAGCACACACCTTGAAGCCCAAACGTGTGTTGGCACAGCTTTGGCATGCCCCACCAACTTCGAAAAATCCTGCTGCAAAGGAGTTGACGTTTTTGCAGGGATGTCTTTTTCCGTGTTTGGGGGGAATGCTTTTCTCCGCAGGGCCTTCTTGGACTTCTTCTTCTTGTCCTGTGGCGAACAAAGGGCAGGGATGCCATTGAAGGCGGACCATCGATGGAACTGTGCGTAACCAAGAACACTCGTCGGGTCACTTGTGCGGGGTACTACTGTAAACATCTAGATGTACAACTATCACAAGAGTCTTGACCCCTTTGGAGATGCACATGGCTTTGCTGGTGTTCACCATGGGTAATGTCTCGCTTCACCAAACAAAAGGGGCCCACCGGCCCACGCATCTATTAAAAGGATGTTCTTTATTGTGCTTTAGTGGCGAAGCTGATTTCAAACCCTCTGGGCCGCAGTGCCGCACAGCTTAAATGGACACCGTGCCCTGCATCGTAATCCTTCTTGGATTTCTTCTTCACCTTCTTGGCATCCTTCTTTCCCATGGCGGCAATGGGCCAGTGTGACTACACCCCTTGGGCCATAACACGCTGCAAGTGACCGTGGGGACATGCCTGCTCGGATGATGTTTGGCCATGTTTTGCCAGTATGGCCCACATTGTTTAAAAAAGGGTCTCCAGCTTCAATTCGTCACGGCAGGCTGTGTTTACCGCAAAACCTTGGCATCAAGGCGTCCAAGGCGTCCAAGGCTCTTCATGTCAGCTTCGTAGAGTTGCCGGATGACCTCGTCACAGTGAACATTCGGTTGTGGCGCGATCGGTCATTGTGGGGCATACTGCGAAAACTGCCAAATCACGAGGCCTCCTCCAACCAGTAAGCTAAATCAACACGAACCAAGGGGAACTGGAGACCTTCGACTCACACCCGCCCGAACACTCGGGGCCCGGGCGGGCGTGGAAGGGCCGTCCACCGGCAGCATCATACACTCCGCCACGGTGGTGCACCGCACCGTGGCGCCACCTGCGGGTGGGGCGAAGCGCGACGGAACGGAACACCGAAGGAAGCACCGGATGGAAGGGAAGGGATGGGAAGGGAAAGGGATGGATGCTCCAAATGGATAGGAGCTCGTCCTCCAGGACTGGTTGGGATGGGGGGCACGGGACGGTTGGTACACCTTTTGACATGTTGGAAGCTTGTGAGCTGCAGGATTGGGTGATATATGATGCTCGATAATGCTCGTAGATTTACGGATTCGGATAGGGCATTTCCCGAGCATGTCACGGGAAAAGATGGACTGAAGCTGACTGGGCATGGTACATCAAAAAGGACCGACAATAATACAAAACGATGTCCAAAGCCGCGTAAGGGCAGGAACATGATTCAGTCTACAGTCGGGGGAACTTTCAAGAAGGTCTCTACTCTACCAGCTGCTTCCGAAATCACTCCGTCAAAGCCCTAAACCCGAAGCCCGGTCTGGCGCCGCGCCCCCCTTCCGCTCCGCTCCGCTCCGAGCTGCTTCGACTGCCCGAGACCAGCAAGCCACGCTCGCCGAAGATGCCCGGGGCGTTCCTCGGGAAGTCGACCGAAGGCGGCGGCCAAGGCCGGGGGGTTGAGGATCCCAAAGCGCAAGGAAGACGGACTTCTTCACATGATACGGGTTGAGAATGATCATGTTATCGGATCTATGTTTCTTCTGACCTGGGCCCAGTGGATGATGACTAGTAGAGGCCTTGTCCTAAAATAGTTATATAATTGTGTATTGACTGTTACAGGTAATAATTAGGACAGACCCAAATCATATATACATATATATATATTAATATTATACGCTAGTGAGTTGGAGGCCATCGCTACTAGGTTGGAGGCCATCGCTACTCCTGGAAACCACGTGCCGTAACAATGAAGGAAAGCCCACAAAGAGATACAACCTCAGCAAACCCACACTCAAAACCGCCAAAATCTTGAGTCTCGAAAACGCCTGTCAAACAAAAACATAGTATATAATTACAGTACATTTCGTTCAAGATTGGGTGGGCATCAAGGGTGGGCAGTCCAAAGGATTCATGGTGCGAAGACCTTGTGCTTTGCCAAGTAGTGCCATGATTTAAAACTGCACAGGGAGTAAAAAGAGACATCTTGCCATACAGGTGAGGCAGGTCAAAAGAACAGTGGTCCAATTCTTGGAATGGAAACCACCCTATGCGCCCGCATGCGCCTCCTTCCCAAGGCGAAGCCTCTGAAAGGTGGGCCCTTTCCTCAGGTCCTTTAGGTGCGAAAGACCTGCCTTCACGCCCTGCCCAGTCGACCCACATGGGCCCCCAAGCACGGCGGGGCTGGGCACCCCGGCACGGTGGCCACGACCATGCCATTGGCTTCAATCTCAACGATGCCATGCACCAGCACCACCAGGTGTGTGCCTGACACCGCTTGTCTAAAGAGAAAAACGTACAGTATGGTGACTGACAAGGTCTTTAAATTTAGGGATTGTCTCCAGTACAGGTCTTCAGTCCGGTCATTTTTTTTCAAGAAGGAGGGGGCATGCGGACGCATCTGACGTCCAAGGTGTGCTGGTTCTACTGCAACATCTTTGCCTGCATTCAGTCTATCTACCATGGCCCACCCCCTTGGCAAACAGCCATGCTAACCCCCAAAAAACAACTTAGACCAAATTGTGTTCGACCTCATGTTCAGGGTCCTGAGTGTTCAAAAAGACCTGGCTTCTCTTAAGGTCTGTCCACTGCTCTTCCAAGCCGACTTAGCGTCTGCCCCCACTCTGCTCCCCCTGAGCGCGCACGGGAGCAAACGCCTGGCGTGCCCTGCACCAAGATGGCTTGGTTGACCATGAAGGGCTGTTCGAACCTCTGCCGAGCGGCCCAAGCAGCGTGGACACGGCCAAGACACTGGTGACGAGTCGCGTCCGAGCTACTGGATGCACCAACTGAGCTACTGGAGACGGAGGAAAACACGCGTCCAACCCATCCGCCCTTGTGCCCATAGCTGCAGCGGGCACGGTGGGGGGGCTTTTCAAGTGAGACACCATGGTGAGAAAAACGGATGATCCTACACGTACACACAACCACCAAAGGAAAGTGAAACGATTGACCGGCACGGAGTGTTCGGTCGACCGGCACCCCACGACAGCCGGGCACATGTATGGATAGTTGTCATCCCCACTGACTAAGTCATCCATTTGGAGGCTTGGGTCCTAAGTCCTAAGCTCACATGCCTTCAGGTCTCCCCCTTAGCCAGGTGGATGTAGAGCCCCCAAAACTCCAAGACCATTAAAGGTGAATGACTGACGGCATTAGGAACAGCCAGTACCATGCGTGCAAACACGGCCATCCTTGCAAATCAGGAGGCATGTTGTCCACCAGCATCCTGATGAAGTCCTGCGATTTTGCAGTTTCGAAGTTGCCACGTCGCCATAGCCTATGACCATGGTACATAATGTGTACATATATGTATATATATATATGTGTGTGTGTGTGTGTTTTGTGTGTGCGTGTGTGATTACATATGTCCCATGCTTGAAAAGGTCCTCGTGGCAGCTCACAGACCCAAGGCCCTGGGACCCCACCGGAAGGATGGAGACTTATATTACAAAGACCTATCAGTCTTGTACCGGGCGGTAGGTGAGATGAGTGAGGGTAAATGAGATGAAATCAGTCGTGTGGTGGACTTGCCGCCGGTCATCAGGATTTGGTGACTACCTTTTGGATCCTTTTGGATGGAGGATTGGTCGACCATGAGGATTCGTCGCAGGGAGCTTCGGGTGCCCAGCCCCCCACGCGTCCCCCAGCGTCACCGTCACCTGGCTGAAGCCGCCTTCGCCAGCGCTGGCCTGTTCCAGTGCAGTCGAGGCCGCCTGGAACGTTTGGAAGAGGAGTGGTGGTGGAGCGACTGGGGAACTTGGGATGAAGCTGTTGGATTGGGATGAAGCTCCTGGACTTGGAAGAGCAAGGTGTGCGTGTTCTTATGCGGCACGTTTCTGGGGGGGAAGCAGTTCTCCAACAGGTGAATGTGAGCAGGCACAAGGCTCAGCAGTGACCCGGGGCTCAGCAGCCCCTTGAGCCAGACCCGGGTTTCTGAGCCCAGGAGGCAGTGGACCTCCTGCTTTCTGAGCCCAGGAGTCTGAGCCAGACATGGTTGAGTGGTGAACTCCAGTTTGATGGTTGAGGGGTGGCTCTACAGCTGAAATCCACACCTCTCCGATAGAAAGCATCACACCCCCCCCTTGGACTCTGGGTATGGGGAAAGTGGGAAATTCTGCTTCCACAAGGTCTATATCTACCTAGCTCGTGAGGGCCTCAATGACCTCGCGCTTTCAGGGTCTGCAGCCTATAGGGCCTAGATCTACCTGCCTTCCCACCGGGCACCGGTCCATGGAGCGGAGCGCACCTTGCGGCTCTGGCTGTGAGCTTCCACGATGGCCAGAATCCGCCTCAAAAGAGAAAGGCCAAGCACCGCAAGCTTTAATTTAGAATTTAGATGTGTCCGTTCGGTGCTCAGGTGATGGCGTTGGCAAGAGAGGGGAGCCATCATGCCAGCTTGGTTCGCAAGCAATTTGGTGGGTTCCAAATGGTGGGTTTTTGGTAGGGGAGTGGGTCCGGAACGGCTGGGACGGCGGCAGCAATCCTGCCGCAAGAAGCACTATATTATATATCAATTATATGCGTATAGGTATATGTAGGTTTCATCAATTTCTGCAATCTGCTGTGTTTTGGGACTCTTGTAAATAGAGTCTTTGGCATCCAGCATAAGAGCAAAACGATTGCGTTTGGGTGGAATGATGGTGAAATATGGAAGCCAACAAACCCAAGCACGGCTCAAGCTGGCTAGTATGAGCTGAAACACCGAGTCATCACTTCGAATGGGTTGACTCTCGGACCGTTCCAGGATCACATGACCGCTGCCGACGAGTTGCTCCTCCTCTTCGGGGAACTTCTCCAAGACCCTGAGCAGCGCTTTGCGGCTCAAAGCACGCACGTCGCACACGGTGTCTGCCTCAGGCCCGACAGTGGCATGCGACCGGGTAAGGTGTGGCTGAATGTCGAGCACCGCCGGGTGTAACTCGCGCAAGTATTCCAGCCCTGGACACATGGAATCTAAAAGCTGGAGTCTGATTTCATGACTGTCAACAGTATGGTTTGTATCCTCCGTGCTTTGCCACCTCAATGCCCACCTGATGCTGATCCCGAATGTAATGGAATACAATGGGTATAATTTGAGAGGTGATCGATCCCCACAACAGCGTGATCTCTGTGCCTTGGTGCCATCGATTCAGTCAATGAACATCCGAAAGGTTCCGGAAAAGCATGATCCATCATGGACGACGTATGACCATATCTACTGGAGAGAGAGAGAGAGAGAGATGGATGGATTGATGTTGACCTTGGCGGGTATTTCGACCATCCCACACACCCCAAAAAGGTCCATTGGACCGACCCCTCCATTTCAAAAAAAAAGGTGGTTTTCAGTACCAAACTCTTTCACCACCACCACCTCCGCCGCCACCACCACCTAATTGAGTTTCTCCATGGCCGTTCCCGCGCCCCGTTTCTCCTCCCCAGTGGCCATGACCGTCTCCTTGCGCGTCTGGGAGATGCCCAGCACCGCTTGCCCACCGAAGACGCTCCCCGGATGCAGGCGGCTCACGGGGTGATCGTTGCCACCTCGGACCAATCCAGCGGGGTGGGCAGCTCCGGTCACGGGCCTCATGATGGGTCGGTGCCCCGACGGGTGGGCGGAGCTTGCTTGGGACCTTGATCGAAGCACCTCGCGCCCCGACGCTTGATGATTGATGAATGTCCCAACCTGCTCAAAATCCTGAATGAGGTGTTACCTCTCCAAAAGGGGGAGGTGATTCATCAATGGGCTACATCAATGAATCAGTAGTAGAATATTAGTAGTTTATTATTTGATGTTCTTTGGACCTTCTTCTCAGTCTGAGCCAACGAACCCCGAAACAGCGCCGAGGGCCCGGCTTCGTAGTACCTTGCACTTCCCTAGGGCAAGGACCTCGAGGAAAGCTTGGACCCCTTTCAACGGCTTAGAAGGCGCTGTGCTGAATGGCAATTGCGAAGTGATAGGGAACTCCCAGCGGAAAATGACAAAAGATTACAAAAGTATATCAAAAGTCAACGAATGGAGGAAATTTCGTTGTTGGGGGACAACGACACGTGCAAGGCCCTTTTATAGTTATAAAATTGGTCAGGGTAACCAGCTCAAGGCATCTCAAGGCTATATTTTGATATAAATGACTAGGCATGAGGATGGCTATGAACAAGTGGTGTATGGATGGTTTTCACTCCAGCTCCCACCTGCGTCTTCCTTAGAGTGTGTAGCCCTGCTTCGTTCCTGAGCTTTCGGCGAACATCTCCTCACCCAGCTCGCTCTCCCGGACGATGACCTCGTCGCGCGCGCAGATCCTGGACCGAGGCGGTCGGATGCGGGCTTTGGCGAACACCAAGAGGAGACACCGGGAGACACCATCTTCACAAAACTCGTTGGTTCCGCCTGACCCGGAAAAAAGGATTTTTTTTTGTTCAAAGGTCCCTTTTTGGACTGATGCCTATGGGCAAACTCTGGGAAGCGGGGGGGCGTCCTTTCATCGCGCGACATGCTGTCCACTGCTCGAGCACCAGCAAAAAAATTGCTGCCAAACGTTGGAGCATATATTTTGGGCTCACCACCCCCAATAACCAAAAGCGGCTCAACTAGATGTGGCTCCATGACTCACAGATCGTCCCATCCCATGTCCCGACACCGACGCAACCCGTCGACCAGGTCCTTTGGGAGAACTCGCCTGGCGAAGGGAGGAGTTCACACAGCGGTGGCGAACTCGCACGAACTCGTGGTGAAGGAGATCCACAGGGGTCGCCGGTGGTGAAGCATGATGAAGCATGGAGGTGAGTGGAATCCGGGGCATGCCGCTCGGAAGCCCAAGTAAAAGTGCGCGCGTCTGGATGTGAACTTCGGCGCGGAAGTCAGTGGAATGCATCAGCATGTTTGATGAGAAGGCCGCCCACAGATGCGAACAGTTCGTGCCACAACAGATCTGTATACATCCCTGAAACGGCCAACAAAACGAGTGCATGGGTTCCACCGGCAGGACCCCTCCCCTATCCTCCCCCCTAGGCCTACAGGGCCTACAGGTACGTGATTGGCTTCGGAGGCCGTCTGGCGGGAGGGAGCTCGCCCACCCATCACCGCCACCCACCCATCCACCTATCCACCTGCCCATCCACCTATCCAGGATCCACCTGCCCATCCACATACCCACCAATCAATCCCAGCATCTGTTGAGCATGTCCAAGAAGTCCTTCCCACAGTCCGCAAACATGGCGATGCTGCGCCTCCAACGGGTCGCGACCGGCCGTGGGCAGAATACCGGAAAAGCGATGGAGAGTGGCAGGTGGCAACGAAGAACCGTCAAAGCGGAGATACCGTCGATATGGGGCGTGTTCAGTTCACACACACACACACCCAAACAAAACCACAAACAAAAAGGATATATATTGGGAACCCCCCCCTCAAAAAACAACAGAAAACACGACCCAAACGGCATGAACCAAGTGGCATCGCATCCATGTGCGGGCTCAAGAGCTGCAAGTGCCTCGGGTCATCCGGCAAAAGCTGCAGCCATGGGCTGTGGAACAAATAGTTCGATATGGACTTCCTATAGCTAAAGAGAATTGCACAAGGTCACCAGGTACTTCCTAGGGTGCGTCAGTGAACTCGAATGGTCCAAAACAACCACTTAGTTGCAGTGTATGGTCCCACACCCGTTGGTTGCACTGCTCCCAGTGAAGGGACCGGGCATCGCTTGGCGGCGCACAGGGGACGACCAAATCTTTGGTGTTTGGTGCTACGTCCGTCGATCGCCACACGAAAAGGATGACTCAGGCGCGGCGATGTTCACGGGGAAAGCGGGGGAGTTTTTGGCCGGTTTTGGCCGTTCTTGTGGGGTCGATGTCCTGCAGCAACTTGATGTCCAATCCCTGAGAGTCCAGACATGACCAGCGATGGCAGCAGCTTTGAGGGACTTCACTAAGTTCTCAAACTCTTCCCGCTGGTTCGGTAGTGCTCATGCTGCTGCATCCTCTTTGAGGTGGGCATGTTTAGACATCGAACCAGCTCTGAAAAACTTCCACATTGCCATACATTTCCCCATAAGCAACAAGCAATCCCCTGACCCCTTGACAAACCGGCGAGTTATCAGTCAGCCGGGAGTTATGATCGGGGCCTTCCTAAGGTAGAAAGCATGTGCGTCTGCACAATTAGATTCCCAATTCGGACCGCTGTTTGATTCACCGTCGCGTCCTTTCTTGTTGTGGATGTTCTCCTCCTTCCTGCCAATCGTCATCACAACTCCTTTTTCGCGTCCATTCTCCGTTCTCACGCCAGCACCGGAAAGACGATGCGTTCTCTGCACCCCTCTCCGCCCTCCCCGTCCGCCCAGTGACTGGGGCCCCCTGCCTCGCGGAGGTCTTGTCCAGCAGGCCGCACTCCTTCCCGAAGCTGACACGCAAAGCCTCGCGGCCGGTTCCATCGAGGCCTGAACCGCCTTGGGGACTCGTGGGCTGATGTCAGAACCGCACAGGGCCTTGACTCAGACTCACGAGGATGCCGGACTCTACACCACTCTACCGCCTAACTATTCCAGGGACTCGATGACTCAAAAGGCGTCAATGCTTGCAGGAACCTTCCAGAAAGTCCTCTCACGCCATCTCACGCCGTATTACACCGTCCATCACCGCTTAGGGAATTCGACCCGCGAGGGCACCAAGAAGGATGGCCTGTCTGTCCCTCGACGTGTGCAGCGCACTGCAGTCCTTTTTGGTTCGGAAAGTCCGTACCCAAAGGGAGAAGAAGCGGAAGAAGAGTGTCTTTGTTTTTTCAGCGTCCACCATTGTCCACCTGCAATGGTCCTAGATCATGTACCATCGAAAAGTCCGAGCCACGTGAGTCACGTGAGTGACTCTTCATCCGGAACTCCTGGATAAGCTTTAGTCTAGCACTCTAATCTAGGCAACTCTAGGCATCTAGGAGCGTAAGTGAACTCCAAATCCCAGTTGGTCGACTGTTCCAGCCGACCCCAACGGGACAAGATCCCTCGGGCGCCATGTCGGGACGGACCGCTCCTCCATGTGCTTGCTCTGCAAGACCCAAATCATGCAGTCCACCTCCGCCTGGATTCCGGGCGGGCTGAGTATCTGAAGTTCCTACTTTCATGAGTCGGAACTAAGCAGATTCTTGGCAGAATGGAGAGTAGCTATATGAGTCATTGATATGAGTATGTAACAGTATGTGTATGGCTTGCCGTGAACTCTTCTTGCGCCCTGTCTTCTACAGTGCTACAGGTCATTGAACGGCTGAGCATGAGCAGGTATGGATCTTATCATGACAAGAAGTAATACTTGGAGAGTTTTGTTGACAATCACCAGCTAGCTTCAAACAAGACATGCTCTTTCGTTACGAAGGGTGGTTCGAGGTGTCAGGCTACGTCAGGTTTGCCAGCAGAACAGGACGTTCCGTTTCTTTCAGCGGCTGTGGTTTACTTGATTGATCCCTTCCACAGCCAGATTTCCAGCAAGCATCACTTGCCGTCAACGCCATAGCAACTCCCGAAGGGCTTGAAAGATGCCATTCCTCTTCTACTGTATAGGTGGGTCCGACATGACGTGGCCCAAATGGGGCAAACCCATCAGTTTTCAAGTCACTTTCACCTGACACGGGGGCAGCGGTTCGGAGGTCGTTCGCACCGATTCGGCTGTCACCAAGGCACAATCACCGTGCAAGTCCTGGGTGTCGGCTCCGGCTCGTGCTGGAACGGCAAAGCGGATCTGACATCCATGAAGTGACATTGACACTACCCCCCCCCGCACTTTTTCAGTTGAATTTTCAAAAATGGCCGGTGCATGAAGACCCCCTACATACCCCTACTACCCTCCCTCCAACAAACTATGAAAATGGACAAAAAAACGCCTGTTTGTAGAGGAAAGTAATGTTCCATGATCCATGGATTGTTGGAGAGAGGGTAGGCTGTTGACACTTGGTCACTTGGCTGTGACCCCAGTTGACTCAGGTCGCTTGACCTA